CATCAAAATTAGGAAGAACTGGAGTGCGAGGAAGAGTCTTAATCAAGTTGGACTCTTCAAATTTTATCTGATCTTGGGCACTCAGGTATTGTTGGACTTCTCTAGGTATTCTGTAGGGGGCGGTTAGGTTTCTAGAATTTTTTGGGCCTTCTGGAGTGGCCGATTCACTTTTCTCTCTGGTGGGAGATAGTGGGAAGAGAGAGATTTCTCTCCAGATAGACTTTTCTTCTTTTGGAAAGGTCTGTTACCTTTGTGTGTGAGATCGATTTGATCTTGGAGGCTCTCTACCTAATTGTTTTCTACTATTGAACTGTTTGAAGTAAAATGGAGAGTTGGAGTATCGAGCAGAAGTCCATCGGTAACATGGGTCTGGGTGTTGGAGGTAGTAGTGATATTTTTTGGTCTGGAATTATTACTATAGTGAAATTTGATAGTACAAATTACCTAGAATGGGCACAATCAGCCAAGATGGCCACTGGTGCTTGTAGGAAACTGGGGTACATCACTGGGGAGGAGAAGAAACCTGATACAGATCCCTACCAGTGGGTACAGGAGAATTACATGGTGATGACTTGGTTGTGTAACTTTATGTTACCTCACATTGGAAAAATTTTTTTTGTGGACTAATACTGCAAAGGAGATTTGGGATGGAGTGACTGAAACCTATTCCTAGAAACAAAATGTAGCTAGAGCCTATCAGTTAAGGAATTAGGTGATTAGTAGAAAACAGGGAGATAGACCTCTTGCCACCTATTTCTCCATGCTGAAAACTCTTTGGCAGGAGATTGACCACTTAGAATTGTGGTCTGCGAGAGTATGAAGGATGCAACAACCTATCAGGGGTTGGTAGAAAAGAACAGGATTTTTAAGTTCTTGGCTGGGCTGAACCTTGATTTTGACATTGCTAGGCAACATCTCCTTTCTAGAGAAAGTGTGAATCTTTCTCAAGCTTATGCCTTTGTCTCTGGAGAGGAGAGCAAGAGGAGGAATGTCATGTTGAGACAGCCTGGGATTGATCAGTCAGCTATGGTTAGTACAGTTAAATCTAAGCTAAATGGAGACAGGGGGAGTAGTGAGGCCAGGAAGGAGGACAAGGACTTGGTGTGTGACTATTGCAAGAAKACTAAGAATACTAGAGACACTTGTTGGAAGCTTTACCCTCATCTTGTACCGACTCGGATCAATTACAGGAGACCCTTCAGGACCCCTCTCCCAAGTTGATTTGGAGTCCATTGTAGCAGTAGCAGTGAAGACCATAGTTGTCAAGGCATCACCTAGGAGCCCTTGGCTGGGCGCCTCGCCTAGGCGACTAAGTGCCCACCTAGGCGACAAAAATGACAAGGCGGGCGCCTTTTATAATGTCATTTATATTGATGTATCTTATTAATGTTGTGTTAATAAATTTTATTATATGCTATATATATATCAATTATACTTTGTTTTAATGTTTTACTATTGAAATTTAAAAGATCAAAGGGTTTTGATGAGAGAAAAAGAAAGAAAGAAAGAAAGAATAGAATAATAAAGTTCTTTTTTTCTATTCTCTCTCTCTCTAATTAAATAAAACAGAAACTCCATCCTTGTTTTTTTTTTCTAGTTTACTTTCTATCTTGAATGCTTATCATATAAAGTTAATAACCTTCTTTAGCTGCTAATTAATATGAATTTTCTCTATTAAATACTAATTATAGTAGTATTATTTTTGAAAATAATGAAATTAATACATGTAAAAAGATTTTTATCTTTTAGATGTGATGATTTGCCACATTTTTAGAGGAAATTTAATGTTCTTAATAAAGAGAATTACTATTTTTTCAATTAACATACATGCTGAATGGTATATAAAACTAGGAAACTAGCCAAAAGTCAGTTTTTTATATTATAAACTTTTATCGCCTAGGCGACTAGGCACCCCAATGTCGCCCAGAATCACCTAGACGCCTTGAAAACTATGGTGAGGACTGAATTGGAAAAGAATGGACAACTTATGAATAAGAAGGATTCAACCATTTCTAGTTCTTCAGATGGGCATGACAGTGCAGGAGTCAACCATACTACTTCCTTTGCTCATGCAGGTAGATCATATGCAGTTGCAAATCATGTATCCACCTTAGGTAAGGAGGGACCTCCCTGGATTATAGATTCAGGAGCACAGGCAAAAGACCAATATATTTACCCTTTTTAGTTCTTACCAGTTGTGCTCTGGTAGAGATAACGTCTCTATAGCAGATAGTTCCCATATTCCCATTGGTGGGAAAGGGATAGTTAGGGTGACAACCGGAGAAGTCTGCTTGCCTATGTCTCCTCTGAACTACAGTTGGGTGATGTCTTCACCAAAGGGGCTGCAAAGAACAAGCTTGAATACAATCTATGCAAGTTGGGAATGTGTGACATTTACTCCCAACTTGAGGGGGAATGTTGGGGTTTTAAACAAATTGTGTAGTCTATAGTGGTAGTCTTTGATTATTTATTGTTTAGATAGGAAGTGGGGACCATTGCACTCTTGTTGGGTCCTTTCTGAGTAGTTGTTTTAAGTGTTTTATGCTGTTTTATGTGTTAGCTGCCCTATTAGGGCGGCCAACATTATTGGTCTCTTTTCTCTCTCAAATCTCTTCTCTTCTCTTTCTTCCTCTCTTCTTCTTCAAGAAATATTCTTTTCTTTTACAGATTTTTTTATTTTTTTTATTTATTTTTTATTTTTTTATTTCAGCACTTTTCTACTGGAACTAAAGTATTCTTAAGAAAGCAGGATAACATGAAACTGCTGTGCATTGAGAATTAAATAACTAGATTTTCCTGCATTGCACTTTTTTGTTTTGTTTTTCACTTGTCAGAATGAAAGGAAAAGCAAAGGAACTTAGAAACATTGGAAGCACATTTCCAACATATTTAGGCTAAATGTTTCTATGCTACATTTGCCTTGTGTTGAGGATATTGTCCAGATTTGTTAGTTGTTTTTATTTATTATTTGTTTAGATAGGAAGTGGGGACCACAACACACTTGTTGGGACCACAACACATTTATTATTTGTTTATGTGTTAGCTGCCCTATAAGGGCATATTAATCATTGTACTCTTTCTATTAATTGAAGTATAAATACTAATGGAGAGGGCGACGGGATCTGATTTGCTCTCTCTTTCTTTCTCAACTTCTCTTCTCTTTCTCTTCTTCCACAAGAAACACTTCTTTTCTTTACAGATTTTTGATTTAGTATATTTCTACTCCTTGTACCCTCTACCCAAGGATTAAAGTATCGATACAATACACCCGATACGAGGCATGTGCGTATCATATCTGTATCCATGCTCACCAGCCAGTCATGCGTATCGGCACGATACATCACTATATTAGTGCATATTGCACTGTATTGGTGGATACAGCCCAATACTCACCGATAAGGGAGGCGTATTGGACCCTAATTTGATGACATTCAAACCTTGATTTAAGACTTAATTTTCCCCAAAAATTTAATAACTGAAAATTATAAAATTAATTTATTTTATTTATCTTAAATGATTTATATATTTTATTTTCCATATAAATTATATGTTAAAAATAAAAAAAAAACTTATTATTTGAAAAAATAGAGTTATTATTTATACAAAATACTAAATAAATAAATTTCCCAAAAAAAATAATAAAAACTTAACTAAATAATGTAAGAGTTAAGTTTCCCCAAGATTTTAATAAAAACTGAAAATTATAAAATAATTTCTTTTATCTACCTTAAATGATTTATATGTTTTATTTTAAAATTATATGTAAAATAAACAATTGTATGTTAAAAATAAAAGTATATTTATTATTTTAAAGATAGTGATTATTTATATAAAATACTAGAAAAGTTTACCAAACATTAATAAAAATTGAAAATTATAATCATAAAAACTGAAATAGAGAGATAATTATTGTATGATATGTACATCTTCCAAAATCCCGATAATGTTGATTGTAATGTTTCTCTTCATATAACCTATTAAGTGTGCACATCTCATGTATTTATACCATTTCATAGTTAATTCAGCTTTAGATTTAGTGTTATTAACATATTTGTGTGATTTGTATGCATTTCCCTAGTGTATCCAAGCATTTTTCATATCTTTCGTCTGTATCCATGCATTTCCAAAACGTATCCGTATCTGAGCTGTCCGCTACAATACTTTAATCCTTGCCTCTACCAATTTTTCTGGACTCTGAATCAATAAGAATATAAACCAAGCTGGTCTCCAAGCACAAGGGTTAGGATCATGTCCAACTTTGATATGATGAAGTGGACATTTTCTTCAGGACATGTTATTGACTCATCAATAAAACTGAATGATTAAGTTTTATAACAAATCCATAAGATTCCATGCTAAATGGAGCTGAATGTTGAAATTAAGACACCACACATCCATATAATGATTAATGAGTATACTAGAGATGCACATTCAAGGTGGGTGGCTAGTAAGATCAGAAAGGAAGAATACTGAAACAAGCCAATTCATGGAGATAATTGAAAGGATCAGTTCAGTCAACAATAAGACAAGATCCATACATTGTTTCCACATGGGTGCAGTAATTGAATAGGCATAGGTTCACTAAATCATAAAGAGTATGTGTATTTGCAGCTTTATAGTATTGATAGCATTTGTTTATCATAGTATTTAACAACTGGGATGAAGCCCAGCAGTTGGCTGCACTTTCATTACTCAAATGCTCCACACAATACCTAATCAGTGAGAMGCAGTCCAGCCTGCCAAGAGCAGCAAATTATGGTTGGACCAAAAGTTTGTACCAAGTGGCTGACATGGTCCAACATTACTCTAAATCATGCAATGTGTCAATCTAAAAAACCATAAAATAAATATAAYATTCAGAGCCAAGCACAGGAATCATTCTGATTTCAAAACCTATTCCCTGAAATCTTCTAGCAGTTGGCCATGCTAGTGAAAGAGGAAGAGAAATTGTTCAGAATAGCAACAATCATTTTCAACATTTTCAGAATGTATAAATGTACCTCCTAGTGATCGAAGGCTGCGAAGAGCAAGTTGGAAATATGCACTTTTGAAGCCATCACCCCAGTCCCCGGCTTTCCCCTTTAGGATCACATAATAGTATATTAGGCTAGCAAGGGCTAGAGACACCACAGTGAATAACCAAGAAATCAGGAACATGATCACTGCACCAATAACAAAAGCAGCATGTAAAATACGGTACTTAAAAGGAACATTTACACACACAAGTTTACAAGGATAACAATAATAAGCATGGAGAATTCTAAAATATCTGGGTCTAAACACACTGGACATTAATATTCTAACCATCCATAAGCAATTCAAGAAATCACAATAGATACAGGTATTATCTCAATAAACAAACAAACTAGGGAAATAGTGACAAAGCAATGCCAAGGTACATGTGCAATAGGTAGGATTCAAGAATCTATTGTTCAACACTAGGAGATCTCCTAAAAATGGAAAACATCCTGAGTTCATTTTTCCTGGATCAACCCCTACATCCTTATTTGTCATCCAAAAGAAGGTAACTTGGACTGAACTTTTAAACATAAGCAATGAAATATGACAAGTTGACATTTCAGACCTTGAGTGCGAGAAAAGCAATTATTATTCTCAGCCTGAGCCTCATGATACATCTCATATGTTACTCCATATGCAAATTCATAAGAAAACAAGAAGAAAGTTCCTGATGTAGTGCTAAAAGATGTGACAGTTCAAACCCAAGGATGCTCATCTTAATCATGGTTCACAATATTGGTGAGATTTAGTGAAATTTACCCAGATTCTCCTCATTTTGGTAGGTGGAAGTACAGAATTTTTTAAGAATCTTTTTCCTAATATCTCTAATATTTTGCCAATATGTTGATGATATTTTAGATTTCACTGATAGGCTATATGTTCGAGGTTTAAAACCTTAGAATATTATTAAGATCTTTCTAATATTTCATTAAAATAGTTGTGAAGCACACCTGCTAATAATTCAGAAAATATAGAAAAAGAGAAGAAAGGAGAAGTTTCAGCAGAAGTTTGTTAAAGAAGAATTAAGAAGAGAAGAGAAAAGAGTTCGATAGGTAGGCTTCATGGGTGTAGCAGTGAGGAACAGATTGTGATCTGTTGCAGAATCTAATTCCCTATTCGTGAGGTGTATTGTGATGCTTTATGGTGCTGAAAGTGGAAGACAGAAATAGTGTTGTTGCTAAAACCTATGATAGTAAGTACCCTAGTAATAATCAGTTGTTGGTGTGTAGTTGGTGACTAATTAGTGAAGTGGAGTGCCAGACTAGTAGTATAATTTCTTTCATTTTCCTTGTGCAGTCATGGGAGACAGCAGTGAATAAAAGTCTAGTGTGATGGTCCCTTCTGATTATCTGAATGTGCAGACGACATCTATCAAACTGAATGGGGGAGAATTATGTGCCTTGGGCTAAATCTGTTGAAGTTTTTCTGAAAGCTAAGAAGAAAGTGAAGCATGTGAGGGAAGATAAACCCCCAACTGGTTCTCAAGGATATGATGAGTTGGAATAAGATGATGAGCAAATTATGACATGGCTAAGGAATAGTATGAAACCCAAAATCAGTGTGAACTTCATGTTTTTAGATACAGCCAAAAAGGTTTGGGATCATGCAAAGAAGTTTTATTCTAGACAAGACAACAATGCTAGGGTTTACCAACTGTACCAAGAGTATTTCAATCTGCAATAGGGGAATCAAAGTCTTGAAGAATATTATGCTAGTATGAGAAATCTGTGGAATGAGTTGAATGTGTATCATCCTCTTACATCTAATATCAAAATTCAGCAACAATAGAAAGAGCAATCGGATGTCACCAGATGTTTTGTAGAGTTGAAGTCTGAATATGAACCGGTAAGAGCACAGATACTAGGTGTGTATGCTCTTCCCTCTCTCGAGGAGGTGTTTGCTTGTCTTCGGAGGATCTTAGTTGGACCCACGGAGAACTCCACTATATCAGATAGGTCTGCGTTTGCAGTAACGAGAGGGGGAGGACGTGGAGTTAGAGGAGGAGCTCGGGAAGGTTAGCCTGGTCGTGGTGGTGGTAGTGGACCCATGTATGGTCGTGGTGGTGGTTGTGTTGGAGGTCGAGACTTAAGGGTTGCCCGTGGCAGAGGACGTAGTAATGATCGAAGGAGGTGTACACATTGTGGTATGGAGGGACAGACTATCAACTTCTGTTATGAATTATGATTTACATGGCCCACCTTCGACCCGAGCAAATCACGCAGCGGTAACTAGTGGTGGTTCGAGACAAGAATCTCAGCAAACTGATCAGATACCTTCTACATCTACAGATACCTCCAGAAAGGAGATGATGAGTGTTTCACAGGATGAGTATGAGCGGTTCATTCAGGCTACGTCTAAGTAGAACACGATACCCTTGCACTCCCAGGTATGGCTTATCTGGCATCCAAACCTTTCCATTGGATTATCAATTCTAGATCCAATGTCGATTCTAGAGGTTCCGAATCTGTTACTCTTGCTAATGATTCCAGGTGTGTTTTCCTCCCTTTCTCTGTCCACATCACAATTTGTTACTCTTGCTAATGGTTCTACATCCTCCACTAGAACCTTCGTTTCCAAACCTTGACCTACCCATTGCTTCGAGAAAAGGTAAATGTATAGCTCATTGTATTTCCAAACACCTTTCTTACAGATTGTTGTCCCCATCCTACTATGCCTTTCTAGACTCCATTTCCTCTCAACCCATCCCAAAGTCTGTTTCAGAAGCCTTAGCCACACCAAAATGGAGGGGTGCTATGAGGACTGAAATTGAAGCCCTTCATTAAAACAATACTTGGGAAGGAAAGTGTTTCAAAAGGAAACTACTGGGTGAAAGTGGGTTTTCAGTATCAGTATCGTGTAAATGGGTCAATTGAGAGGTATAAGGCTTATCTTGTTGCTAAGGGATGTACTCATGTATATGGGATAGATTACACTAGGGCTTTTTCTCCAGTTGCTAAAATCAAGGTTTAAAATGTTGATGTTGATGGAAATGTCGCTTACCAAAATATAGGACATATGTCAGAAATGTCGTGAGGAAATATTGTAAAAATTAGAAACATTGTGGAAATATTATGAAATATGTGGAAATATGCAATGGTATTCTGTAAAATGATAAAAGAAGCATTAATGAATATTTCTAGACTATTATCTTATTCCCAACCATTATATAAAGCTAAGAAACTAAGATCAATAACAAATTAGTAAATGACAATTTACTGATTTATTATTCAATTTGATGTTTTTACAAGGTTATCTGATATATTCTTTTCTTATTTTTAATTCTGATTTATTATMAATTCTAATATATTTATTTCAAACTAGTAAATAGAAATACATTTATTCTGACTTTTTAAATATTAAAG